ATTGGCAACACAATTGAAAGATTTGACCCTGAAGAAAATTGTTGGGATGTGGTGGGAAGCATGGCTATGCCCCGTTACTGCTTTGGGTGTTGTGAAATGCAAGGTGTGTATTCTTAAGTTTGTATCCATAAATAGTTCCAACAGCTGTTGGATTTTGAAGCTTTATGTTTCAGTCATGAATTCTTACCATTGTCTTGTACTGAGCTGTCAGTTGCACATGTTTGTGCTTTGCTTGTTTGCTCTTCTAGTACCATATTTCTAATTCTACAGAACTCAAAGACTATAAAGTTCTCTCTTGTCTTCTGCCTTTTATCTCATGAAAACAGTTTTTCCTGATACTGCTTTTATTTACCTTCCATATTTGGGTTTGTGTGTGTTTCTTTGTGACAATCTGAAGAGTTGCTACAGGTTATTTTAAGACAGACATGTCTAAAGACTTGGTAAATAAATGTGCCTGTTAAGTGTTTGATTCAGGCCTGGTCAGCATTTGCAACCTTCTGAATTCCTTCCCCTGCACTTAATTAATTTTTGCTTTCATCAGAGCTTCCAGTGTTCAAACCTCAAGTTACTCACACAAAAGCTTTATGTATGCTGCTACTGAACAAAAGGAGGTTTTTCTGTCATTCTTAAGCCATCTTAATGTCAGGCTGAAACCTTTGTTGTGACAGTCATTTTCTGTCTTTCTTTGTATTACGAAACCTAAGAGAGGAGAACTTCTGTTCCTGCAGGTTTGATTTATGTTGTTGGTGGTGTCAGCAGTGAAGGAGTAGAGCTGCGCTCTGTCGAAGTCTACGACCCGATATCCAAACGTTGGTCTGAGCTCGCCCCGATGGGCACCCGGAGAGCCTATCTTGGTGTGGCTGCTCTCAACGATTGTATCTACGCCGTGGGAGGCTCGAGTGAATCTCAGGATGCACTTGCTAGTGTAGAAAGATACTCATTTGAAGAGGTATAGTAGAGTCCGTTCCCTTCATAAATGTAGATTGCATCAGGTTTGTGTAAGATGCTACAGAGGTAGCCTGCTTCCTTTCTTTAAAAAGAAAAAGCTGGAAATTCTATTTCCTTTTCACTACTGGCTGGTGATCTTGAGTGAAGCAAAGCTTTGGTGATCTCAGGGTCTATCCTAACTAGTTGTTGTGGTTTAACCATGCACAGATATACTGTAGGTTGGTAAATACTTGCTAGGGTTAAGGTGAGAGGATAGATTCCTCCTCTTCAATAGAAAAGTCAATAATTTGAATGGAGAGAAAAAACTCACTGAAAAGTTGAGGATCTTTCTTCTGCATCAAAATGGTGTTTCAGCATGATTAAAATAAGATATTATTCCTGACTGTTATTGCTTATGTTTCTATGATGCTGCTTGGAAGAGTAGCTACTGTTAAAAGCAGAACATAATCCAGCGTGCCAATCTGCTTTGCTTTTTGAATTCAATCTAGTTTTCCTTATTTCCCACCTCAAACTGTACCATTCTCTATTTTGGAGACAGACTGCATCCTGCAGTGACTGAAGAAAGGGAGGGGTGTTTTGTACAGACAGTATGGGATCTGCTCTTTAGTGACTAACACAATTTAGACCCCTTGTGAAAGTGTTGTCATTCCTGGCTTGATAGTCCTCTTGGTACTGTACACGTACCATATTGGAGCCTGTGAGGTGCATACATAGTGTTCTTTGGATATGTTTCAGTCTTTAAGGTTTAAAAATTATTTTATCAGAATCAGGGCTTGCCCTAAAACTACTTGTTGACTCTTTCACCCTCTCATTAGGAAAAGTGGGTTGAAGTTGCTCCGATGAAGATCCCAAGAGCTGGGGTGTGTGTTGTGGCTGTGAATGGACTCCTCTATGCCTTGGGAGGCCGAGCTCCCAGTCCTGATTTTGCCGCTCCGGTAACCTCTGACTCTGTTGAAGTTTATAACCCTCACATGGACAGTTGGACTGAAATTGCCAACATGATCACCAGCCGCTGCGAAGGAGGCGTGGCTGTGCTGTAAAACACAAAGAAGAAAACTCATTGAAGGAATGAATAAATCTGTCTCCTCAGATCTCCGGTTTCATAGGCCAGAAACCTTTTTTAACGCAGGAGCTGCAGCGGAGAATTACATCAGAGGGATTTTCCTGAGCAAAAGGAAAAGCCCTTCAAAGTAAATTGGCTTATCCAGTGTCTGTCTTGGGAAGTATTCTGTTAAGAGTAGGAATGCCTCTTATAACTGGATTAAGCTCACTGAAATAAATGGTGAATTTGCCCCATAAAAATCTGAAGAAATAATTCCAGCCCGTCAGAGACATTAATCAGGTTGTTAACTCTGTCAGGTGCACCCAAGCTGGCATTTTAGCTGCCCTTGCAATCTGGAAGGGGGTTACTACGGACAGCAAGGAGTTACCTGGAGATAAGACCAGGTGGGCAATTTGGATGGCATTAGTTGTCTTTTCTGGTGGAAAACAAGGAAGAGAAGATAACAGGGGGAAGCTTGGTGTCTCTACTTATGACCTTGATACATTTGAGCCTCTTTTCTGCTCCTGGACATTAAATACGAATTGGATCTTTACTTTCTGGCTACTCCACTCACTTGGATGGTGAGTGGCTGAGAATTTCCTATTTTGGAAGGTTATCCTCACTGTTCTAATAATGCCATTCCACTTCAGCATTGGCTTTTCTCAGTGATATGAGCGATGACAGTAGAGCTCCTTTTTGTGTAAGCTCTGATCAATTTTAAATGGAAATGCTATTCATTAGATTTGCTGTTCTCTTTAGGACTGCTCTTAGTAAAAAAAATTAGGGAAAGCCTTTTGCCCCCATTTTGTTTCCCCATGGTTAAATGTGCTTTTACCCTGTGTGACACATGCTGAGACTTGGCATTGGAGTATTTGCTGTTCTGCAAGGCACACACCTTCACCTTCACTGCATCTTGTGCCTCTTCCAAATTTGAGCCAATGGAGCTTTCTGTGATAGAATTAGCTGCACTCAGCATTAAAGTGATGCTATCAGTGTGCTCTTGAGGAGTTTGTATTTAGCTTGGATACCTCTAGTAGAACAATACTACTAGGAGTTTGCAGTTTTTTCTAGATTCATTTAATTAACGAATTTGAAGTCGCTTTTTGCACACTTGTGATTGCATTTTCTGCACAGCTGTGGATGATCTGGATGGAGCCTGAAGTGAGGCTGCTTGAACTTTGATAGACAGTGTTATTCTGGAACACAAAACCGCAACTGGAATGTCACTGAACAGGAAGCCTGCACTGTGTAGACAAAGGAGCATTCATGCTGTCTGGGTCAATATCCCCTGTGTAAAATTAACTAATTATTACAGGAATCAAATCCTCCAAGGTGAGTGTTGCAGGTACCTTAAGAATCTAGGTTTTAAAATCTGACATAGGGTTGGGCTAAAACATGCTACATGATGGAGAGTTTCTTTCTCTTGATTGTTCTATAATCTTGTGTGTACTTTTACTTCAGAGGATTTCTTATATGTCTGAATTAATGTCTATTTTTTTCAAGTACAAGCTTGTATTAAACAGCATTTCATAATAAAATGTGTTTTCAGAACTGACTGTGGAATGCTCTTGAATAGGTTGCTTTCATATCACAATGAGTTGTATCACTGCCACTTTCATATAATAGATTCTTTTTTCTTTTTATTGAAAATCCTATTTTCCAGTAGGATATTAGAAAAAGATTGGTTATAAGTTGTGACTGTTTGAATGGTGCAAGTAACACCTTTCTGCAGTAAAACACTCACATATGTGTCTTCTCAGTGTAAAATCACTCAGACTTCCTGGGAGTCTGGCTGCCTTGCCAGCTCTATTCAGCCCTCTGTGGGATGAAATTACAGGTAATATTTCTTGGGCATTCTTCTTTACATTTCAGGGTCTCTTGTGGAACCATTGGAGGAACATTACCTTTGCTGTATTTTATTAGTTTGGGAACTAGGAGTTCACTTCTGATCCCTACCTATAAACTTCCTGGTTTAATAGAGCTTGAGGGAGTCCACAGTTGTGTGGAGTTCCCTTCTCCAGGTTCTGTAGCTGATTCCATCATGTTTGAATGGAATTTGGAAGCTGATTGATTATGGTCTCTGATACTCAGCACCTCTTTCACTGAATCAAGCCAAAGGCAGGACTCTACTCTGGACCCATCTTAAACAATGACGTGTAAGTAAGAAAGAACAGAAAAAAAATTTTAGTTCGTAAACTCAATTTTATTTCCTTTATATTCAGAGAGCAATGAAGTATATTTTTGTTTCAGAGGGACGATGCTGTTAACATACAAAAGTTGACAGGTTGCAAAAGTGAGAGGGTGGTGTACAGAGCTGCTGTCTCAGCAATTTCATACAAGATGGCTCTATCTCCAGGACAGGCAGGCTTCTTAAACCTCTGTTCTTTGCAGAATGAACAAAGTTTAAGTGACAATATGTGCTCTATTCTGGGTAGAACAATGAAGATCAGTGATTTAAACAACTACGAGGATCATCTGGTCCTAAAACCGTGTGTGGATGTCACTTTTCAGCTTTCTTGCATATTATACTGTACTTCCAATTAAAACTTAAAATAAATATGCTCACATACAATTTCATAGCTTTCTGGAGATACCTGAGACTAGAGAAGAGAATCCACGTGACTTAGGCTGTGTCTTCTTCCACTAAATGATGTGTTAGGAAGACTGAAGTACAAAGGCCATCTGCTTCTGCTGGGGTTTCAGTAACAGGCCCATCATGGAGGGTTTGCAGACTACAAATACACCTGTACCTGTTCTGGGTGCTCAAATATATGGATTCGTAGGAGGGACAAGACACAAACTACTTTCAATCCCTTAACTAATCCCTTAGTGCCAGCACTGGAGTCCTCGTGTCCTATTGTACATCTGTCTGTGTGTATAACATCAGTTTGCAGTGCTTTAATTTAGGAGTGTGACAGATCTTCATGGCTGTGTTGCATGCAGCTTCCTTTGCTGGGCAGCCCTAATTCCAAACAAAACCTCGGAGCAGGTGGCCCACATACCCTTTATCATTTCAGTAAGCCTGAGCAGGAAGTTGACCTTCTGTCTTCTCTGGTGCCTTGTCAAAGATGCAAAGCTCCCCCTTCAGCTTTCCCCGCTCCAGCACAGCAACTGAATGACACATTTTAGGTGAGTGCTGACCTTGGCTTGCCCTGCAAACAAACCTCACCTGTCCTTTCTTACTGACTCTGCACTGAGCACTTCCTCACACAGCATCCCTAGAAGTGTTCAGGCTGGATGGAGCTCTGAGCAGCCTGGTCTAGTGGAAGGTGTCCCTGTCCACAGCAGGGGGGTTGGAATGAGATGATCTTTAAGATCCCTTCCAACCCAAATGATTCCATGATTTTCAGCATCTTCTCAGGTGAAACAGGAGTCTTGTTCCAGAACACAGGAACTGAACGTGGATTTGCTTGTGCACAGTTCTCTGCTGCTGCTGCTTTAAACACCAAACTAGAACTGCTTTCACCTTGTTACTGTTTATGACCACACAGTTGTCCTCCCCACCTCAGAACATGATCACACATTATAGTTAAACCAGATACTTTAATAATTCAGCCTACAGCAATTCATACCCACATCATTTTGAATCTCCATTTGAAATTCCTATGACAGCAATATCTCGTTAAAGAGTGATTCCTTGTTCTATGGATAAGGACAGACTCCCGTTTGCTTTGGAAGCCATTGCTATTTGCAATCCTTCCCTCCTAAACTAGCTTGAAAGTCAGTAGGAGAATCAAGTTTGCTTTGAGAGTAAGCATCTTGATCCCTGCCATCATCACTTCTAAGCACAAATCAGTTCTTTATTTCTCCTGGAACTCCATGCAAATACTGGCAGACAATATCTTTTCCCTATCAATTTAATATTTTGTGTTCTGCCATTTATTTCTGTCTTCAAGTCTCTGCGCCTCAAAACTGAGCTTCAGTGCTGCAGTGGTCAACAGGGATAACACCATCACCACTGTTCCCCACACCCTCAGTCTTTTAAACCCCCTCGGGTAAGGGGGAAGAAGGGCAATGTCATAATGCAGCGCTATCCCCAAGGCCATCACCACCATCAGTGCTCCCACGGTGGCATCCTTGAAGAGCAAGGCCTGCCAGGCAAGCACAGGAGGAACAATGCCATTAGCCAGGTTCAGCCAGTCCGGCTTGGCTGGGCTGTTTTCCGGAAGGGCAAAGCCCCACCTCATTCCCCCCAGGAAAGAGGCTGTCACAGCACCGTATGCGACCTGAACAAAGGCCACCTCGGGGTAGTAGGTGCCCTGGATGATCATGGCCAGTGGTGCCATCACAAAGGGAACCAGCCCCCCCAGGCTCAGGTAAAGGGCCGGCTTGGGAACGTCCTTCAGGGATTCCTTGCTTTTTTCGGATTCTGTCTCAGATTCTGGAGGCTTTTTCTTCTTGGAGACGGGGAGAGAGGTGTGAAAAGCCTGGAGCTGGGTTGCATAAACTGATGCTGGTTTGAAGCTTGGAGGTCTTGAGAGAGGACACACATCCCTCCGGAGCCAGAGGCCGAGGGAAGACCAAGTTGTCTTATTCTTTGCACAGAGCAGCAGCCTGGGACCCGTTAACTTCTGGAGCTGCAAACATAAAACTTGTCCTGAGCACCACACAGTGCAGGCTTACAGACCTGCAGTTACCTCAGCCACCTATGGAATATTGCACAAGTGGTTTTCCAGGTCAGGTCACATCACAGCTGTCCCTCCTCTTAGATTTCAGGTGTTTTTAACTGAACTAACAAAGGTACCCAATGCAGCTGATAAAGAGCAACTGGGCTCTCTAGAGTGAGTAAGAAAACCTTTACTCACTGCAAAAGGTTTGTAGACCCACCCGTCCTTCCCCCACACATGCGTTCTTTAAGCACTTTTAAGATATATCAGTCCCTTTCAGAACAAAATGTAAAATAATTTCCTGCAGAAGCAGGACAAGGTCACCCCAGCAACTAGCTGCTATCCCCTCACTGCTCTATCAAAAAATAAGAGGAAAAAAGACCTTGAGACAATAAAATTTCATTTTATAAAAGAAACAGCTTTGCCTAAAGGTGCTGTAGGAACCAGGAGCTCTCCCAGAAGAGCTGACTGATAAAACAGCTGGCTACTTCAATTGAAAGCCACCTTTTTTTTTTTTTCAAAGCTGCAGTTCATATCTTTTCCTATTTTACTTCTAAATAAAAACAGAGAGCAAAGAAAGGCTTCGGTGACTTACTCTGAAAGATGTGTGGAAGCAGCATCGTTGTATGAGAGGAAACATGTTTGTTTTATCAACGTCCTAAAACCAGAAAAATTCAGGAGAAGGTCTGAAACTGATGAAAAGGTGAATTTGTCTTATGTCCAAAGTCTACACTTATCATATGCTTACAGACTCTTACAAGTGTATTTTAAAGAAATATATATATGTTTCTTCATTTCTCCTGGAACTCCAAGCAAATACCTCATTAGCAGATAATATCTTTTCCCTATTGATTTATTAGTTTCTGTTCTGCAATTTATTGCTGCCTTCACTTCTCCTCTAAAATTAGCTATAAAATCTATAATATATGCACTGAATCTGTACTTGCCCACTACAGAATACTTCGTTTCAGGCAGCTTTATGAACTGAAGCGATAAAGTTTTAATAACTGTTGCAAGAACAATTTCTGGTTAATGAACGGAGTATCAGGGAATAGGCGACGGCTTCCCCTTCATGGATCGTCTCCTTTTCAAGGGATAAATGGCTGCGCACAGCTGATAAACGAGCAATTCCTCACATGAGGAAAAAAGCGATCTTTAACAGAAGGAGTGGAAAGGCCATCCCATCCCATCCCATTCCATGCTGTAGGTAAGCCCCCTGCGGACGACACTCACCGGGGAAGGCAGTTCCCAATCCTGCTCCTCCGGGGAAGGACGGCGGCTCTGCGCGGCCAAAGTCCCCGCACAGAGGGAAAGGGGAGAGGAGAACCCTTATATCCTGGAAGGAGAAGGAGCCTCGCTGCCCACGGGCACCGGGCGGGAATCGCCCGCGCTGCCGCCCCCCCCGCCCGCTACCCCTGAGGTGGCTTCCGGTGCCCCGGGAAGCGCTCCGGCGGCGCCCGGCGCTCAGCGCTGCCGGTCCGGGCGGGAACGGGAGCGGCCCATCGTGTTCCGCTGGCTCGAGGAAGGGCCAACCTGAGCCGAGGGCAGCAGCGCCACTCGCTCTCAATCCGAGGGCCGCGGTCGGTCTGGCAGAGGAGCAACAGGGGCTTCTGCCGCCCGCGGGGTTGCGGGGCGGCGCGGCCGCTCCTCCTTTCTAAGCTCCGGCATCTCGGCAGCGGACCAGCCTCCCGCAAGTGGACTACAGATCCCAGCCTGCCCCGCGGCGCGCCGCCCGGCCATTCTGTGCGCCGGGGGCGCGTGGCCTTCTGGGCCGCGTAGTCTGCGGCGGCTTCCGACAGGCGGCGGCGAGGGCGGTGCGCGGCACCGCCTGTGATTGGCGGGGCGGGGGGCGCGCGGCATGGGGCGGGGGCGGGCGAGGGGGTGCCGGGCGGGGCGTGTCCCTTCCGCGTGCTCGGCCCCGCCCCGCGCGCGCGCCGGCCCCGCCCCCTCCGGCCCCCGGCCGGGCAGGGCCGGGCGGCCATTTTGGGCAGAGCTTTGTTATGGTTGTGGGGCCGCCGGAGCCGCGCCAGGGCCCGCCCGGTGAGTGCGGCCCCCGCGCCGCCCCCGCCGCGTCCCACTCGCCCCCCGCGCCCTCACCTGGCCCCTGCAGCCCCGCGGCCCTCTCCGCCGCCCCCCGCGACCACCGCGGGCTCGGCGCGGCCCGGGAGCGGCCTCCCGCCAGGCCGGGTCCCCCCCCACCCCCCCCCGCGCTCGGTCCCGCGGCCGCGGCGGGTCCCGGCGGGGGCAGTGCGGGGTCCCCGCGGGCAGGGCCAGGCCGGGCGGTGGGGGGCCGGGGCTCCGCGGGGTATTGTTTCCTTGCTGAGCGGGGAAGTTCGCAGCGCTGACACTGCCGGGGCTCAGCTCCTGTCATGGGGTCGGCCGGGAGCGGGGCGGGGGGGCGGGGCGGGCCCGGGCGGCGGGTGAGTGCGAGGGGGGGGCCGGGCAGGGGCGACCCCGCTGCCGGCTGGAAACGAAACCAGCCCGGCCGCTTCCCCTTGGCTCCTCCCGGGCCGCGCTTCCCGGCTCCCCCGGCGGGAAGGGGCGGTCGGGGCCGGCAGTGACACGTGTGCTGCGGGCGGCCGGGGCCCGGCTCGCCCTGCCCGCTGCCAGCCGGGCTGGGAAACTTGTCAGGTGCCCCTCGCTGTCTGCGCGCAGGAAAACAGCGCCCGGCCCGAGCGTGAGGTGGCTCTTTGCGGCGTGAAAGTTATTTCTGTCTGTCCGGTGTGTTTTGTGCCCCGTCGGCCGGAGGTTTTGCGTGGTTTGGCTTAAACGGCTGTGCCTGGACTCTGTCAGAACGCACGTAGCGCTTCAGAGAGAGCCATTTGAGACTTTGAATTTATTAACGAGCTGGTTTGGAACGATTTTAGAGCAGTCAGTGGGTGTCTGCACAAGTTTCGAGTTTTTAACCAGCTTTAGAGGAACGGTCGCTATTTAAATCCTTGTACGTAATGGTGGAATGGTTTGAGAGGGTTGCTTAAAAATCTTTTTATATTAACGTGACCAGGTAGGTCAGCCTGCCTTTCCCCGCCCCCGAGGTGTGAGTGACACAAGTGTTAGTAATGTTGATAATACTCTGAAACGTTGCGAGTGCCTGAGCAAAGTGTGGAAACAGCAGCGGGGGGAATGGAGATGAGATAACAGCTGAGATAATTGAGGAGCCATCAAGGCTGAGTTTGCTGTAGAGTTGACATTGCTTCTATAAAAAATGTTAGGTGTTATGAAAAAAGCTTATGCAAATGTTACTTTCATGAATGACTGTGGCTGGTATTTCAGCGAAAGGTTCCCTGTGCTTATCCATTTGGAGACCGGTATTTCAAACTTCCAGTCTCTGACTCAGGAAGGAAACAGGTGTAGAGCAGTGGTAGGAAGAAATAAAATTCCCCAGGTTTAAGAGGAGCAGCTTTTCCTTTTGCATTCTTTCTCATCATTTCTAGAGAAAAGTCCCTTAAGAAGAACTTTTTGAACTTTTGTATTTTTGTATTTAGAAGAGAAAGGCTTCAGGTGATACTTCCCTTTCTTTTTTCTTTTTTTTTTACAGCTATTAGTAGCAAAGTGCAGCCTCTGCATTTTATATTCGTCTGTTTTATAGCCTTAATCCTATATGACACAGAAGTTTCCATTGCAGATATCATACGAGGACCTAAAGGGAAAATATGCAGGGAACAGATGGCATTTTAAAGGAAAGCAAGTCCTGTTTTTTCTGAGGGTGTCTCAGAAATATGAGGAGCAGAATGCAGATGTGAAATACAACAAATCAAATGGAAGTGCACACTTTCTGAATGTTAGGAAAAATACTTTATTTTGAGAATATTTGCACGGTATGGTCACCTTGTCTCAGAGAGGGGACTGTTTGTGTACATGTGGTGTTACTGCCTCTTGAAATTCCTGTTTTAAATTAGGAAATTAAGTCACCGGAGAAAAAATAATATGCACTAGCATTTTCATGAAGTGTAAACAGTATTTCAAGGGTTGTGCCATACTTATTTTTAATACTGCAAAATGCTGTGGTTGTATCTGTGAATTTCTTCAGGAGTGTGGGTTCTCAGATAATGTTCTTCTTGCCTTTACAAAGTGAACAAAAACTATTGGCTCAGGAGTTAAAGTTGCCTTTTTTTTTTTTTTTAATGTCTGTGTTATAAGTTGTTTGAAGTTAGTTGTGTAACTGCTGGGTTGACTTGGTTGTGAAGTGTAGTCCAGGGTGTGCTTTGTTTGTATGAAGAGGTGGGAACAGGGCTGACTGTTCAGCAGAGCTGAAACATAAAGCACCTCTCTCCAGTGGAGCGCTGGCTGTGCTCACATGGACACAGGTTTTCCTTATGGCTTTGTAGAAACACAAAGAGGGGATGGCAATTGCTCCAACTTATCCAGGGCAAGGTCACAGTTACTGAATTTTGCAGTTGATGAGGTAGTGTGTGTACCAGGAGGTTTGTTTGGGGTTTTTTAAGTTTTACATTAATTTATTTGTAGAGGGCAGGAGTGGTTTAGTTTTTGTTCTGCAAACTCAGCAATGTAAGCAGACGTTTTACTGTCACTTACATAGTGACCAGGATGCCAACTAAATCATGTGGCTTTTGTTTCAGCAAGAGTAATTGAACTGCATGTGCTCTTTGCTCCTCAGATTTGATGAAAAGCAGTGAAGTTGGCAGAAATGTGGTCCTGCTCAGAGTACTTCATGAATGCCAGGATGTTGTTTAACTTGTGTGCTGTAACTTAATATGTTCCTGTGAAAATGTGCCAAACTTTAATGAGTTACTGTATGGTCAGAAGATAAATTTACATTTTTGGGAGTGGATTTAGGTAGAGATTGATAGAGGCTAAGTGTCCACCGCCCTATACACGTATGTGCAAACACTGTGCAGACCTCAGAGTTCTAGGACTGGTTCCCAGGGCTGTGAGCATGACAGTGAGTGGGGAGGGAAGCATATTGGCTTCATTAATCATAGATATTAGTGATCAGGCTGTATCACCCCAAACTGGAAATCCTTGATTAAAGTGTGCTTAACTATTTCAGTTCCTGCCTTCTCCCTGGCCTGCAGCAGTATGGGGAGAAGAATTTTTTACACTTTATGCTACTTAGACCTTTCTGTATTTAAACAGCGAAACAGTTTTGCAAAGTGTTGGTGTGTGCAGTTCCATAAAATGACTAATCTGAAATAGTTGCACTTCCAAGGTCTGTCTTAACAAAAATCCTTTGAACCAGTGCAGCCAAGTATAACTGAGGTTTTCTGCAATAAATGATGCTCAGAAAGAAATATTTTGCAGTCTATGACCTTGTGCCCTGGGGACTGTTGTGCACAAGAGTTCACCAGGAGTTACTGAAGTTCTGGGATTTATAGTCATTCCAGCAAAAATGCCAGTGTTGGTTTGGTTGGGCTTTTTTCTCCTTGAATCTTGTGATCACTTCCAATTCAGTGTTTTACACAGTTTTATCCTCCACCCTGAAAGGAGCATCACAGCTTCTTGGTGTGACGTTGGTGACTCTTAAGGAAAGGGGTGGGTGGGTGTGTATAATGTTGTCTAAATACATGTCCCTGGTTTTAGGAATCCACTTTTTCCAATACAGGAAGAAATTAAGATTTTTAATTTGATTTCCCCTTGGAGCAGTTTATTTTCAGTGTCAGGTCTAGGTTTAGGTGGATTGTGAGTGTCAAGCATAGTAAGGGCCAGGAGGGCAATGGGGATAGAGGTTTAGGGTGGCAGGAATGGCTTCTCTGGATATCTGTGTGACCCCCATGGCGTAGTTACAACATACAGAGCATGTGGCAATGAGCATCACTCTCGGAATTTTGTCATGTTCAGTTTGTGATGAACAACTAACTTGTAAATAAAGGACTGAGTCTGCCAGGGAGGTACATGGTATTTTTCTGGGCACAGAAATTGTTGGTATTCACAAAGTTGCTGTGGGTTTGTATGGTAAAGATTACAACAGGTCTCCAGCCTTTCAGCAGAGAGGAGTGTTTTGCCATTGTATTACAATGCGTCATCCATCATCAAGGGATTAATCAGGGCTCACGTGAGATGGTCTAAAAAGACCTTTGATGTTAATCTTAAAAAAACTCAGCAAGGAAGTCTCATCCTGAAAATGGTGAATGTGTTATGATCTTGCCTGTTAGTTTGGCAAAACTGTCTTTCCTCTACTTTGAACTCTAGTTAAAAGTAGAGAAACAGGTTAATGACAACTTTCATGTCTTCAGGTTCACTGGGCCTTATGGAATGTATCCTACAGTATTTAGGGAGCTGAGAGCTTGTGGGGGTGGGAAAAGTTCCAGAATGCTGAGGAGTTGAGGTGCACTTTCCCTCACAACATCCAGAAAAAGGCAGGACTCGGCTGTGTTCAAGGGGAGCGTGTTCACGTCAGAGAGTCTGTCCTGGATCCTGTACTTTTTGGTAGTTTCACTTCTCTGTGTTGAAATAACATTCTTACTG